TTGGCTATTATTATTGTTGTTTTGATGCTCTTTTCAGAGGGAAAATCAGCATATTATTATTATTTTGGCTATTATTATTGTTGTTTTGATGCTCTTTTCAGAGGGAAAATCAGCATATTATTATTATTATTGGCTATTATTATTGTTGTTTTGATGCTCTTTTCAGAGGGAAAATCAGCATATTATTATTATTGGCTATTATTATTGTTGTTTTGATGCTCTTTTCAGAGGGAAAATCAGCATATTATTATTATTGGCTATTATTATTGTTGTTTTGATGCTCTTTTCAGAGGGAAAATCAGCATATTATTATTATTGGCTATTATTATTGTTGTTTTGATGCTCTTTTCAGAGGGAAAATCAGCATATTATTATTATTGGCTATTATTATTGTTGTTTTGATGCTCTTTTCAGAGGGAAAATCAGCATATTATTATTTTGGCTATTATTGTTGTTGTTTTGATGCTCTTTTCAGAGGGAAAATCAGCATATTATTATTTTGGCTATTATTATTGTTGTTTTGATGCTCTTTTCAGACGGAAAATCAGCATATTATTATTATTGGCTATTATTATTGTTGTTTTGATGCTCTTTTCAGAGGGAAAATCAGCATATTATTATTATTATTGGCTATTATTATTGTTGTTTTGATGCTCTTTTCAGAGGGAAAATCAGCATATTATTATTATTGGCTATTATTATTGTTGTTTTGATGCTCTTTTCAGAGGGAAAATCAGCATATTATTATTTTGGCTATTATTATTGTTGTTTTGATGCTCTTTTCAGAGGGAAAATCAGCATATTATTATTTTGGCTATTATTATTGTTGTTTTGATGCTCTTTTCAGAGGGAAAATCAGCATATTATTATTATTGGCTATTATTATTGTTGTTTTGATGCTCTTTTCAGAGGGAAAATCAGCATATTATTATTATTGGCTATTATTATTGTTGTTTTGATGCTCTTTTCAGACGGAAAATCAGCATATTATTATTATTGGCTATTATTATTGTTGTTTTGATGCTCTTTTCAGAGGGAAAATCAGCATATTATTATTATTGGCTATTATTATTGTTGTTTTGATGCTCTTTTCAGAGGGAAAATCAGCATATTATTATTATTGGCTATTATTATTGTTGTTTTGATGCTCTTTTCAGAGGGAAAATCAGCATATTATTATTATTGGCTATTATTATTGTTGTTTTGATGCTCTTTTCAGAGGGAAAATCAGCATATTATTATTATTGGCTATTATTATTGTTGTTTTGATGCTCTTTTCAGAGGGAAAATCAGCATATTATTATTATTGGCTATTATTATTGTTGTTTTGATGCTCTTTTCAGACGGAAAATCAGCATATTATTATTATTGGCTATTATTATTGTTGTTTTGATGCTCTTTTCAGAGGGAAAATCAGCATATTATTATTTTGGCTATTATTATTGTTGTTTTGATGCTCTTTTCAGAGGGAAAATCAGCATATTATTATTATTGGCTATTATTATTGTTGTTTTGATGCTCTTTTCAGAGGGAAAATCAGCATATTATTATTATTGGCTATTATTATTGTTGTTTTGATGCTCTTTTCAGAGGGAAAATCAGCATATTATTATTATTGGCTATTATTATTGTTGTTTTGATGCTCTTTTCAGAGGGAAAATCAGCATATTATTATTATTGGCTATTATTATTGTTGTTTTGATGCTCTTTTCAGAGGGAAAATCAGCATATTATTATTATTGGCTATTATTATTGTTGTTTTGATGCTCTTTTCAGAGGGAAAATCAGCATATTATTATTATTGGCTATTATTATTGTTGTTTTGATGCTCTTTTCAGAGGGAAAATCAGCATATTATTATTATTGGCTATTATTATTGTTGTTTTGATGCTCTTTTCAGAGGGAAAATCAGCATATTATTATTATTGGCTATTATTATTGTTGTTTTGATGCTCTTTTCAGAGGGAAAATCAGCATATTATTATTTTGGCTATTATTATTGTTGTTTTGATGCTCTTTTCAGAGGGAAAATCAGCATATTATTATTATTGGCTATTATTATTGTTGTTTTGATGCTCTTTTCAGAGGGAAAATCAGCATATTATTATTATTGGCTATTATTATTGTTGTTTTGATGCTCTTTTCAGACGGAAAATCAGCATATTATTATTATTGGCTATTATTATTGTTGTTTTGATGCTCTTTTCAGAGGGAAAATCAGCATATTATTATTATTGGCTATTATTATTGTTGTTTTGATGCTCTTTTCAGAGGGAAAATCAGCATATTATTATTATTGGCTATTATTATTGTTGTTTTGATGCTCTTTTCAGAGGGAAAATCAGCATATTATTATTTTGGCTATTATTATTGTTGTTTTGATGCTCTTTTCAGAGGGAAAATCAGCATATTATTATTATTGGCTATTATTATTGTTGTTTTGATGCTCTTTTCAGACGGAAAATCAGCATATTATTATTATTGGCTATTATTATTGTTGTTTTGATGCTCTTTTCAGAGGGAAAATCAGCATATTATTATTATTGGCTATTATTATTGTTGTTTTGATGCTCTTTTCAGAGGGAAAATCAGCATATTATTATTATTGGCTATTATTATTGTTGTTTTGATGCTCTTTTCAGAGGGAAAATCAGCATATTATTATTTTGGCTATTATTATTGTTGTTTTGATGCTCTTTTCAGACGGAAAATCAGCATATTATTATTATTATTATTATTATTGGCTATTATTATTGTTGTTTTGATGCTCTTTTCAGAGGGAAAATCAGCATATTATTATTATTGGCTATTATTATTGTTGTTTTGATGCTCTTTTCAGAGGGAAAATCAGCATATTATTATTATTGGCTATTATTATTGTTGTTTTGATGCTCTTTTCAGAGGGAAAATCAGCATATTATTATTATTTTGGCTATTATTATTGTTGTTTTGATGCTCTTTTCAGAGGGAAAATCAGCATATTATTATTATTATTGGCTATTATTATTGTTGTTTTGATGCTCTTTTCAGAGGGAAAATCAGCATATTATTATTATTGGCTATTATTATTGTTGTTTTGATGCTCTTTTCAGAGGGAAAATCAGCATATTATTATTTTGGCTATTATTATTGTTGTTTTGATGCTCTTTTCAGAGGGAAAATCAGCATATTATTATTATTGGCTATTATTATTGTTGTTTTGATGCTCTTTTCAGAGGGAAAATCAGCATATTATTATTATTGGCTATTATTATTGTTGTTTTGATGCTCTTTTCAGAGGGAAAATCAGCATATTATTATTATTGGCTATTATTATTGTTGTTTTGATGCTCTTTTCAGAGGGAAAATCAGCATATTATTATTTTGGCTATTATTGTTGTTGTTTTGATGCTCTTTTCAGAGGGAAAATCAGCATATTATTATTTTGGCTATTATTATTGTTGTTTTGATGCTCTTTTCAGAGGGAAAATCAGCATATTATTATTATTGGCTATTATTATTGTTGTTTTGATGCTCTTTTCAGACGGAAAATCAGCATATTATTATTATTATTATTATTGGCTATTATTATTGTTGTTTTGATGCTCTTTTCAGAGGGAAAATCAGCATATTATTATTTTGGCTATTATTATTGTTGTTTTGATGCTCTTTTCAGAGGGAAAATCAGCATATTATTATTATTTTGGCTATTATTATTGTTGTTTTGATGCTCTTTTCAGAGGGAAAATCAGCATATTATTATTATTATTGGCTATTATTATTGTTGTTTTGATGCTCTTTTCAGAGGGAAAATCAGCATATTATTATTATTGGCTATTATTATTGTTGTTTTGATGCTCTTTTCAGAGGGAAAATCAGCATATTATTATTATTGGCTATTATTATTGTTGTTTTGATGCTCTTTTCAGAGGGAAAATCAGCATATTATTATTATTGGCTATTATTATTGTTGTTTTGATGCTCTTTTCAGAGGGAAAATCAGCATATTATTATTATTGGCTATTATTATTGTTGTTTTGATGCTCTTTTCAGAGGGAAAATCAGCATATTATTATTATTGGCTATTATGTTGTTTTGATGCTCTTTTCAGACGGAAAATCAGCATATTATTATTATTATTATTATTATTATTATTGGCTATTATTATTGTTGTTTTGATGCTCTTTTCAGAGGGAAAATCAGCATATTATTATTATTATTATTACTGGCTATTATTGTTGTTGTTTTGATGCTCTTTTCAAAGGGAAAATCAGCATATTATTATTATTGGCTATTATGTTGTTTTGATGCTCTTTTCAGACGGAAAATCAGCATATTATTATTATTATTATTATTATTATTATTATTATTGGCTTTTATTGTTGTTGTTTTGATGCTCTTTTGAAAGGGAAAATCAGCATATTATTATTATTATTGGTTTTATTATTGTTGTTTTGATGCTCTTTTTAAAGGGAAAATTAGATTATTATTATTAACTGTTATTATTATCATTGTTATTATTGTTACTAATATTTAATAATAATGATTAATAAATAATAATAATAATGTGTGCTTTACCATAATGAGAGGATTTGTCTTGATAGTATAGCTTGATTTCTGAAGGGGGCTCAACTGGTCTTCTTCCATTCCTTATGTAATGGAATACAGATTGCCTAGGAGTCCAATAGATAAGTTTCCTTCTCTGGAGATTTTTCAACAGAGGCTAGTCATCTGTTGGGAGGGATTAGATGGTGTCCTCCTGCCTGGATGAAAGGGGTTGGACTGGGTGGCCCCTTGGAGTCCCTTCTAACACTATTGGGTGATTCTTTGGTATCTTGCCTAGCCAAATTCGGGATGGAATAAGTTTCCGCAGAAAGGAAATGCCCATGGTCCATAAACACATGGCAGTAATGTCATATTAGAACCCTAGGAGGGTCGGGTGGGACCCCCAGGGGCCATCTAGCCCACCCCAGCTGGGAATCCATGCTGGGTGTTTCCTCTCCTCCTCCTTCTCCCCGCAGGCGCTCTTCCTGGGCCTGGTCCCGCAGGAGTGCCTGGGCTCGCTGTGGTCGCGCCGGGACAAGAAGGGCCACGAGGGGGTCTGCCCCTCCGTCCGGGCCACGGTGGCCCAGTTCAACCGCGTGGCCACGGCCGTGGTCTTCTCCTGCCTGGCCGACACCGCCCTGAGGGCCACCCAGCGCGCTCGGCTCCTCGAGAAGTGGATCCGCGTGGCCGAGGTGAGCCCGTGGGACATGACCACCCCTTGCGATTCCTTTCTCATCCTCTGTTGAATTGCAGTGCGGCAAGTGGACTCTAGGGCTGGTCAATCGTCTATTGATTTTTAATACTTGATATTTTTTCAATTGATAAATCAAACTATACAATTCACCATTCTGGACACAAAGTGGTGGGAAAAGTATAGCAAATGCATATACAATGACTCCACCAAGGCTGGAAAATCCACTGATTTGAAGACCACTGTGAAGTTATTGCATGAATTGCAATGGAGTGTTTACTGGGACCAAGAGTTAAGGCGATTTTTCTTTCTTTCTAATGATTACAAGGAACCTGTGGCAGAGCACAGCATATATACGGCAAACATTCCATACCGGGACACAAATTCTTATATACATACATAAACATTAAAAAACATTTATCTCAATATTAAAATACACCATTTGTAACCGTCCTGGTCATCTGCGTCAAATCTATTTGGCCTGGTCATCTTTCCTATTGCCGCTTTATTGCCCTGTTCCAAAAGCTTGGTCCCACAGCCAAGTTTTGACCATCCTTCTAAAGGACAGGAGGGAGGGGGCCGGCCTGATCTCACCAGGAAGGAAGTTCCATAGCTGGGGAGCAATCACCGAGAAGGCCCTGTCCCTCATCCCCACCTATCGCGCCTGTGACAATGGCGGGATGGAAAGCAGGGCCTCCCTGGATGATCTTGAGCTCCACAATGGTACATAGGGGGAGATGTGTTCAGATAGGTAATTTGAGCCGGGGCCGTTTAGGGCTTTCTAGGCCAAAGGCAGCACTTTGAATTGTGCCCAGTAGCAAACTGGCAGCCAATGGCGCTGTTGTAACATGGGAGTTGTATGCTCTCTGTATGCCGCCCCAGTTATTAACCTGGCTGCCTCTCATTGGACTATTTGAAGCTTCTGAGCAGTCTTCAAAGGCAACCCCACGTAGAGTGCGTTGCAGTAGTCTATCCTGGATGTAACGAGGGCGTGGACCACCGTGGCCAGGTCTGACTTCCCAACTGGTACAACTGTCATGAATGACTATTGAATAACTTTCAAGCATAGGTTCTTTTTATTGCAATTTCCAATGTGAGAGGGTGTATCAGATTACAGAAAAACATTGGGACATAGAGACAATACAGATTCTATGCAACTACATTGGATTTACAATTACATGGCTAACAAACAAACAAAGGGGAATCACATTTTCACTCAACATTCACACACATGTACATGCATTCATCTTCATGCACCCAAATATTCTCCCTCCTTGGAGAAGCACCTCTTAGGCCAGACCCTGCCTTCCTGCAACCTGTCAAGGCATAGTTCCAGAACGCCAAAACTTCAAAACGCCGAAATGCCAAAACTTCTTTCCCTAAGCACAATGCCAAGGACCAGATCTCTGTTTTCCATACAGCAGAACCTGACTCCCTGCACAAAACGTAAGACTCCAAAAGCGCCTTCCTTCTTCCTCTTCCCTTGAGAAAGAAGCCCCAAAGTGACCAGACTCATGCTTTCCCATAGCAGATCTGACACTCTCCATATGTACACTCTCTCCTTCCCATGGAGCAGAGCACGGCGGGTGGAACAGACTCCTCAGGTCTGCCACACTTTGAGCATTATTAGGAATATTCTACTGATGTCGTCCCAAAGTGGTAAATGAATGATAGACGTCTTCCATCCTGGCTCCATCTCAGTTTCCTGGGCAGATGTTGACTCTTCTTGATTTGTGTTGACATACACAAGGCTTGTGTTGACTTCCTTGTTAACTTAAGGAAGGTTGCAAATATTTCCTTAACTTGAAAGGACCATTGTCACAGATCTTACCAGAGTTTACGTTTCAATTCCGTTCTGAGTCGCCCAAGGACTGGGAAGAGCGGTATACAAATATAGTAAATAAATTCTTATTAGCAGTTTTTAATCACAGTCCAGCAAGCAGGTAGTTAGTCATTGCAGGCCTGGGTCTTTTACTGGTGTTTCCAAAATGATTACCTCCATACATACATCCTTCCATTCATTCCCACACATCATTTTGTCAAATCCACATTTATCAAATCTGCAATGATATTTTTGTGACACAACCCCACACTGCCCAAGTCTCAAGTCCTCAATGAGGAACAGTTTCGTTAGCTTAGAATAGGCTGAGGGTTTCCACCCTCCCATGTCTCCTGAATGACAGGTGAAATGTATCTATTTTGTTCTCTCTGTTTCTGCTCTCATTCTGATGGGTTGTTTAAAATGGGTACTTTTCTACTGCAAGCTTTTTGAATCTGACTTCTGCTTTTTTACACTTTAGTCTGGAGCAGTGGTTCTCAACCTGGGGTCCCCAGATGTTTTTGGCCTTCAACTCCCAGAAATCCCAACAGCTTGTAAACTGGCTGGGATTTCTGGGAATTGTAGGCCAAAAAACATCTGGGGAGCCCAGGTTGAGAACCACTGGTCTGGCGAGCCTGTGCTGTGTGCTTTGAGCTCTGCTCGCTAATGAGCTGATGCTCAACTTTTGTATCCTGTGTGAGTTTTTGGATGCTCTGCTTTATTTTAGGGTACTTTCCCCTATCAAAAATATGTATTCATGAATACATTGTCTATTAGGCTTTGCATTCATGTATGCTTTCCGGGATGGCTTCCAAGCATTGCACTGCCCAACGATCTGCAGATGTCTTCCTGCATTCCCAGCTATACTGCATCTCTTTTGCAAAGCTAAATCCAATCTAAACATTCCATATTGAGAAACCTTCAGTCAATCCACTCACAACATCACTCACACTCAGTCAATCCACTCACTCACAAAATATAATATAAATATAATATTTATAATATATAAATAATATATAATTATAAAATATAATATAAATATAATATATAGATAATACATAATATTTATCATTGCAATATATAAATAGTATATTTATACCCCAGGTTTCGGCGGTGACCAGGGGAGCATTTGCACAGCTAAAGCTTGTGCGCCAGCTGCGCCCGTACCTTGGGAAGTCTGACTTGGCCACGGTAGTCCACGCTCTGGTTACATCCCGTTTAGACTACTGCAACGCTCTCTACGTGGGGTTGCCTTTGAAGACAGCTCGGAAGCTCCAACTAGTCCAACGCTCGGCAGCCATGATTTTAACAGGAGCGGAGCGCAGGGAGCATACAACCCCCCTGTTGCGCCAACTCCACTGGCTACCGATCTGCTACCGGGCTGAATTCAAAGTGCTGGCGTTGGCCTTTAAAGCCCTAAACGGTTCCGGCCCAAGCTACCTATCTGACCGCATCTCTGCCTATGAACCCACCAGGACTTTGAGATCTTCCGGGGAGACCCTGCTCTCGATCCCGCCTGCTTCTCAAGCTCGGCTGGCGGGGACGAGAGATAGGGCCTTCTCGGTGGTGGCTCCTCGGCTGTGGAACGCCCTTCCTACGGACATTAGACTAGCACCATCTCTAATGGTATTCCGCAAAAAGGTGAAGACCTGGATGTTTGTGCAGGCGTTTGAGTAATTTAGTGCAATCTGGTAATGGAACATAGGAATGGAACAATGGACGACGAACCTGGACTACGCTTGGATGATGAGAAGATTGGGTACGGTTGTTTTTTCGTAATAATTGTGCATTGTAATTGCTTATTGGTAATTTATGGATAATGTGTTAAGTCAATTGTTATATGTTGTATGGAACCACTGCTGTTTCTACTGTTTTTACTGTTTGTGAACCGCTGTGAGTCGCCTTCGGGCTTGAGATACAGCGGTATAGAAGCAAAGTAAATAAATAAAATAAATAATAAATATAATATTATTTATTTATTTAGATATTTTATTTAGACCATTTCTACCCCGCCCTTCTCACCCCCGAGGGGGGGACTCAGGGCGGCTAACACAGGCAACTATTCAATGCCAACAGTATCAAAACAACAATATAAAACAGCAATATAAAATCCATTACATAACAATTAAGCAGTGATATTAATTAAAATTACATAACCACATAGAACAGATCACATAATCACAGGTCATAAAGCCATTTCCAATTTTCAAACTATCCTAATAATAATAATAATAATAATAATAATAATAATAATAATAATAATAGATCCGATACCAAGACAGTTCCTCATCTGTAATTAGATATTATTATCAATATTATAATAATCTTAATGATAATAATATAAATAATATATAATATAATATAATATGAATAGATCTGATACCAAGACTGTTCCCCATCTGTGATTAGCAGGATTTGGTTATTACTATTATTATTAATAATAGTAATAATCATAATTATTACTATTATTATTATTAATAGTAATAATATAAATAATATATTTAGAATAATAATATATAAATAATATATAATAATATAATATAATAATAATCAACATATACATATGCCTTGCTTATTGTATGATGTAAGGCCTTCCCAACATTGCCCATCCCTACAATATAGCCAAGAAATTGTACAATTAATAAATAAGTAAATAATAAATAGGCAAAGATTTCCCCTGACATGAAGTCTAGTCATGTCTGACTCTGAGACTCTGGTGCTCATCTCCATTTTTAAGCCGAAGAGCTGGCGTTGTCCGTAGACACCTCCAAGGTCATGTGGCCAGCATGACTGCATGGAGCACCATTACCTTCCCGCCAGAGCGGTATCTGTTGATCTACTCATATTTGCATGTTTCTGAACTGCTAGGTTGGCAGGAACTGGGCTAACAGGGGAGCTAACCCCGCTCCCTGGATTCAAACCGCCGACCTTTCAGTCAGCAAGTTCAGCAGCTCAGCAGTTTAATCCGCTACACCACCAGGGAGCCCTAGTAAATAATACATTTTCAAAATACCATACAAGCAATTCGGTTGTTCCATAACTAGGATTCAAGTGTGTGAGCAAACTTATGAGATACTGAAGCTGAGAGCTTCTGATTGAAAGGAAAGATCTGATTGTCTTAATTTCAAGTACTCAGTTTAGGAAGCCGAGCATTGTTATTTTCATGTTTACGTGTTAAGCCTCACCCTCACCCTCCCTCCCTTCCTCTTCCTCCTCCTTAGGAGTGCTTCCTCCTCCGGAACTTCTCCTCTCTCTACGCCGTGGTCTCCGCTCTCCATTCGACTCCCATCCATCGGCTCAAGAGGACGTGGGAGGAGACCTCCAGGTGGGAACACACATACAGGTGGATCTGTAATTGGTTAAGTGGACGAACACAGAGAGTGCTCACTAATGCTTCCTCTTAATCTTGGAAAGAAGTGACAAGTGGAGTGCCGCAGGGTTCCGTCCTGGGCCCGGTCCTGTTCAACATCTTTATTAATGACTTAGATGAAGGGCTAGAAGGCATGATCATCAAGTTTGCAGACGACACCAAATTGGGAGGGAGAGCCAATACTCCAGAGGACAGGAGCAGGATTCAAAGGGATCTTGACAGATTAGAGAGATGATGGGCCAAAACTAACAAAATGAAGTTCAACAGGGACAAATGCAAGATACTCCACTTTGGCAGGAAAAACGAAATGCAAAGATACAGAATGGGGGACAATGAGGCCTGGCTCGAGAGCAGTACGTGTGAAAAAGATCTTGGAGTCCTCGTGGACAACAAGTTAAACATGAGCCAGGAATGTGATGTGGCGGCAAAAAAAGCCAATGGGATTTTGGCCTGCATCAATAGGAGCCTAGTGTCTAGATCTAGGGAAGTCATGCTCCCCATGCTCTATTCTGCTTTGGTTAGACCACACCTGGAATATTGTGTCCAATTCTGGGCACCACAATTCAAGAGAGATATTGACAAGCTGGAATGTGTCCAGAGGAGGGCGACTAAAATGATCAAGGGTCTGGAGAAAAAGCCCTATGAGGAGCGGCTTAGGGAACTGGGCATGTTTAGCCTGAAGAAGAGAAGGCTGAGAGGAGATATGATAGCCATGTATAAATATGTGAGAGGAAGCCACAGGGAGGAGGGAGCAAGCTTGTTTTCTGCTTCCTTGGAGACTAGGACGCGGAACAATGGCTTCAAACTACAAGACAGGAGATTCCATCTGAACATTAGGAAGAACTTCCTGACTGTGAGAGCTGTTCAGCAGTGGAACTCTCTGCCCCGGAGTGTGGTGGAGGCTCCTTCTTTGGAAGCTTTAAACAGAGGCTGGATGGCCATCTGTCAGGGGTGCTTTGAATGCAATATTCCTGCTTCTTGGCAGAATGGGGTTGGACTGGATGGCCCATGAGGTCTCTTCCAACTCTTTGATTCTATGATTCTATACGCCCCTTCCCCTTGACATGCCCCCCACCCTTTTAAACGCAGCCCCAGAAGCCCCCGTTCCAAGACTTACACCTCTCTCAGCCTTCTCTTCTCTGAGATAAGCATCCACGGCCCCTGAAGGAAGGAGCACCTCAGAGGGATCCCTGGTTGCCAAGCCTTTGGCCAGGATGTCCTCTTCTCTCTTCTCTTGCTGCCTTCATCTCCTTCTCTAACTGCTCTACCCAGGACTGGGCAAAGCCCTGGGTACCACACCTCTCAGTAGGGTAAAGCACACACAAAAATATAATAACTATAATAGCAATCATAATAATAACAGTCAACAATAATAAGAACAACAATATGCTCCTTTTCCCTCTGAGAGGAGCACCAAAGCTGCAAAAAGGGCTAAAATCAACATTTCCCCCAATTGCAGAGTTTCTAGGGATCACTGGGTTGTTGTAGGTTTTCTGGGCTATATGGCCATGTTCTAGAGGCATTCTCTCCTGACGTTTCGCCTGCATCTATGGCAAGCATCCTCAGAGGTAGTGAGGGCACATTACACATTCATTCATCCTCATGCATACAACGCCAATTCTCCTTCTGTCATCTCCTGGAGAAGGACCCGCTTAGGCCAGACCCTGCTTTCCCTGCAGCCTGCCAACACACAGTTCCAAAACTTCCAAAATGCATCTATTCTCCCTAAGAACAATGTCAAGGATCAGAGCTCTGTTTTCCCTACAGCAGAAACTGACTCCCTGCAAATGTATCATGACTCCTTTCTCTTCTCTTGAGAAAAGAAGCAAGTGACCAGACTGCGTTCCATTGCAGATCTGCCACTCCCTTCCCACGGAGAAGAGCGGCGGGTGGGCCAGACTCCTCTGGTCTGCCACAATTTTGGAATTGGAATAAGGTCTCTTATATAGCAATATTTCTTGCTGCTGTTGTTCCAAAGTTGTAAATGAATGACAGATGTTTTTCCAGCCTGAAACATCCTGGCTTCATCTCAGTTCCGGGCAGATGTTGACTCTCCTTACTTGGTGTTGGAAAAGTAAGGAGCCTTGTGTTGACTTTCCTTCTTAACGTAAGGAACCTTGGAAACATTTCCTCAACTTAAAGAGCCATTGTCTCTGATAATGTAAACACGTTGTTTTTCTCCAAAAGTTCAACAGGTCAGCAGTGTCAATAGTTCAGCAACTTTTAATAACAGTCCGCGAATTTTTACCTCCTTCTTGTAGTTTTCCAGGCCTCATCTTAGACTGGCATCTCTAGATTATATAGAGCCCAACTATACATTTTTTTATACAATTCTATTCAAACCACTACTTTTACAATGTCTCAGTTTCTCTCTGCCACTCCCCCTTTTGTCCCCAGATGACTTCCACTGCTGCAAACTGAGCAAATAATAATAATAATAGCACATTGGATCCATTCTCTTTGTCCTTCCTTCCTCTGCAGGGACTGCCTCCGCTGCTACGAGGAGCTGAGTGCCGTCTGCTCCGAGGAGGACAACTACAGCCAAAGCCGGAGGCTCCTCTTCCAGGTTTGTGCAGAGCCCTTCAATGCCGTGTCGCCCTCAGCTCTTGTGGCAGAGAGTCCCACCGGGCCAAAGAGGGAGCATCCGCTTGAGGGAGGAACCCAGGCCGGATCTGTGTGCATCTATCTGCACTGCGGAATGAGTGCAGCATGGATTCAATGTCATGGAGCCCTGAGAGTTGCAGTTTCATGAGTCCTTTAGCAAAGGGTGCTTGAGCCTTGCTGAACTGGGACTCCGAGGATCCTATAGCTTTGAGCTTGGGCAGTCCATTCCCAATGACAACAACAACAACATTCATGCCACAATGTGTAGATGCACCCTGTGTTAAATGTTTCTTGAGTTCAGAGTAGAGCAACTGCTTTGGTAGATGGTAGTCGGGCATCCGGACAACGTGACCGGTCCAGTGGAGTTGATGGTGGAGGACCATCGCTTCAATGCTGGTGGTCTTTGCTTCTTCTTCCAGCACGCTGACGTTTGTCCGCCTATCTTACCAGGAGATTTGCAGGATTTTTCAGAGGCAATGCTGATGGAATCGTTCCAGGAGTTGCATGTGACGTCTGTAGACAGTCCACGTCTCACAGGCATATAGCAGGGTTGGGAGGACAGTAGCTTTATAAACAAGCACCTTGGTCTCCCTACAAATGTCCCGGTCCTCAAAAACTCTGTGCTTCATTCGGAAGAATGCTGCACTCGCAGAGCTCAGGCGGTGTTGTATTTCAGTGTCGATGTTGACTTTTGTGGAGAGGTGGCTGCCAAGGGAGCAGAAATGGTGAACATTTTCTAATGTTACACTATTAAGCTGTATCTGGCTGTAAACCGGGCTGAGTCCCTCGACAAGGTTGAGAAGCTCGGTCTACAAAACTGTGAAATAAATATCTCTGGCATTGGAGAAGGATTGGCCGGTGACTGCTGGAAGAGCACTTTGGTTTTCTCGATGTTCAATGACAGGCCAAGCTTCTCGTATGCTTCTGCGAAGGTGTTTAGAGTGGCTTGTATGTCTTCTTCTGAATGCGCACAGATGGCGTTGTCATCAGCATATTGGAGTTCTGTAACAGATGTTGTTGTAACCTTGGTTTTGGCTTTCAGTCTGCTGAGGTTAAATAGCTTGCCATCTGTCTGAGAGATGATTTCCACTCCGGTTGGAAGCTTCCCATGAACAAGATGAAGAGTCATAGCGATGAAGATGGAGAATTAAGGTTGGGGCAATAACACATCCCTGTTTGACACCTGATTCCATCTTAAATGGGTCACTTTGGGAGCTATTGCTGTCCAAGACTGTTGCCATCATGTCATCATGGAGGAACCGCAGGTTGTTCACAAATTTGTTTGGGCACCTGATTTTTTGGAGGACGGTCCAGAGAGCGCTGTGATTCACTGTGTCGAATGCCTTTGCAAGGTCAATGAATGCCATGTGCAGAGGTTGATTTTGTTCCCTGCATTTTTCTTGGAGCTGACGTGCGGTGAAGATCATGTCCATGGTTCCTCTGGAGGGGCGGAAGCCGTTCTGGGAGGGTGTCTTCTGAGAGGGGCAGAAGGCGGTTTGCAAGGATTCTTGTGAGGATTTTCCCAGTTGATGTTAGAAGGGATATATCTCGATGTGGCCGAAGAGGTTCTCTCACAAATCCCTCAACAACAAACCAGGGATGAGCTTGCAGCACTGCCTAGTTTGGAAGAAGTCAGCAATGCCATCAGCCAACAAAGAAAATAACAAAGCCAGCAGACCTGACGGGATCCCTGCTGAAATTTTTAAGGAGTGGGGACCTGAGCTGACACAACAACTCCACTAGCTCATAGAAAAAGTGTGGGTGACCGAGAAAATCCCAGCAGACGTCAAGGATGCCACCATCATCACCCTTTTCAGAAGAGGGGAAAGAACAGACTGTTGTTGGGACAATAACACATACCTGTTTGACATCCCTGTTTATCCCATATCATAAACTTGACCCTTGTACTTGTGGAAACACTATCTTCACTTTCACCTATCGCTATTATCCACAGTTGTCTGTTCCCATGTAAGTTCAGGAACATATCCTTGGCAGGTAGAAGGGGTTTGTTCTGTCTCCCAGGAGACTGGTTTGCATTGCTTTTTTAGTTGCTTGGAGTGGCTGCCCCTTGCCTTTCTCTCAGGAGCTGCTGCAGCCTTGCAAAGCCAGGAGTTTAACAGTCAAAGGCGGGAAAAGCCAGTCTGCAAACTCTTTGCAATGGTTGGCCTAGGGAGCAGCTCTTTGAGCCCACCCCTGCTCCCAGGGAAAGACTTCCATTTTGGAGTCCTCCCTGCCTGTTCAGTTCTGAAGAAGGAATCTGATGTGCTGGTGGCCAGAAAGGTAGCTCCGACAAACCACTGTAAAAACAATTGAGTTATAGACAGGAATTGAGAACAATTGAGAATTGAGAAATTAAGATAGACAGAGAAGTTTATTGAGAAGAATTGAGCTATAGTTACATAGATTATAAGAGAGTTATAGAGTATAAAGAAAAATAGGTATTGAGCTTTGAGAATTGAGTTTTATAGAGTCTTATAGAGAGAGAGACCTTATCTCCAAGGCTAATCTGGGGCTTAGATAGAAAGGGAAAGATTTGTTCTTTCTAAAAGAAAACAGCTCTGGATTAGGGTGAAGGATCCCTGGATCCCTTTGCCACTTGGAGAAAGGCTGACTCAGTAACTGGTGGAGAAGAGAAAGAAGAAATATCTATTTGGTTTATCAATTGACTGTTCTGTTTGCAACTTTGAGAAATAAATATCCTGTTTTGATGTTCAGAACTTGTAATAGACTCAATTGCTGAGAATCTCAATCTTCTCAAGAAAAGCACTGGCAGTTCGCCCAGACATAGATAACAGCACATCATAGTTTTGTTTTTAAAAGCATCTGGGTGTAACGGCACAGGGTTATTGTTTTAAAATCAAATGTAACAAGAAAATGCAGGACAGAAAATGAAAGTGATACACCACTCAGTTTAATCATGACCCTGGTTTGAATCCTTAATCATGACTTTAAGGACTTGGGGTCAAATCTATGACTGCAAAGATGTGGGCTTGAGTCCTCATTGATGACCCTCTTTGAGTCTTTTCTGGAGAGATGATGATGATGATGATGATGATGATGATAATAATAATAATGACAGTGATAACACAGGTTCGAATCCTTAGTTATGAGCCTAATCCTCCTCTCTGTGCTCCTCTCCCAGGAAGGGCCCCCTCGAGGATCCCCCGGGATGGAGCCCACCCTCCGGCGGCACCATCACCACCATCACCACCGGCGGTCCCTGGAGCAACGCCCCACGGTACAGTGCCAGACAGCATGGGGTGGCCTTGAGGCTTTCTGGCCAAGGACAATGGGAGCTAAAGACCCTAGAATTCTATACTGGGGGAACTTGGTGGATGTGGCTTCCTCTTCAGCTGACCCCTTCCTCTTTCTCCCTCCCTCCCCCAAAAACTACACAGGGGGTGGTCCCTTACCTGGGCACATTCCTGAAGGACCTGGTGATGCTGGACGCAGCCGCAAAGAACCGCCTAAAGGTGAGCGGAAAGGGAGGGTGTGGGGAGGGGGCTCATATTGACGGGCGGGACCCCCACTCCAAAGTGGTCGGGTCCTGTGTCTACACTGCAGAATTAATTAAGGTCAGGATTCAGAACCTCTGTGGGTCCTTCCCTCCTACTAATTCCATCTCTCTTTCTGCTCCAGAACGGCTACATCAACTTTGAGAAGCACCGGAAGGTAAAAGGAAAAGCGGGGGAAGGAGGAGCCACTCATCCTCATTTGGGGCCTCCGGGGGTGGGGGCTCCTGCAAAGAGGGCCAATGGCTTCCTCCCCTTCCCGCCTTCTTTCCCCCAAATGCCTTTCCCAGGAGTTTGAGATCATGACCCAGCTGCGCCTCCTGCAAGCCAACTGCCGTAACTACGCCCTGAGCCCGGACCCTTCTCTCCAGAGGTGGTTCCAGCGCCTGCCCAGCCTCAGCGAGACCCAAAGGTATGTCGCAAGGAAAATAACAACAACAGCGATGATCATGACAAGAATAATGCATTTGGGATGAAAGCAAATCCTCTTTGGTCCATATTTATATTAGCGATTCCTTTCTATCTATACACTGTCCTCTGGTGATTGCATCTGAGCATGCATACATAGAAACAGAGAAGGCAGCAGCTGATCCTTTCTATATACTGCCCTCTTGTGGTTGCAACTGAGCATGCATACATAGAAACATAAAAGGCAGTGGCTGATCCTTTCTATATACTGCCCTGTTGTGGTTGCATCTGAGCATGCATACATAAAACATAGAAGGCAGCAGCTGATCCTTTCTATATACTGCCCTCTTGTGGTTGCATATGAGCATGCATACACAAAACATAGAAGGCAGCAGCTGATCCTTTCTATATACTAACCTCTTGTTGCATCTGAGCACTGCATACATAGAAACGCAGAGGCCAGCAGCTGATCCTTTCTATATAGTTCTTTCTTGTGGTTGCATCTGAGCACTGCATACATAAAACATAGAAGGCAGCAGCTGATCCTTTCTATACACTGCCCTCTTGTGGTTGCATCTGAGCACTGCATACATAGAAACAGAGAAGGCAGCAGCTGATCCTTTCTATGCACTGCCCTCTTGTGGTTGCATCTGAGCACTGCATACATAGAGGCCAGCAGCTGATCCTTTCTATATACTGCCCTCTTGTGGCTGTTTCTGAGTGATGCATATGTGCATACATAAGCATCGCTAGACCTAGAGGGCAGCAGCTGATCCTTTTTGTTTACGTACCTCCCTCTTCTTGTTACTTCTGAGTGACACATAGGTTCATACAGTTGCAGGGAGTTTTTTGGGCTGTATGGCCATGTTTCAGCAGCATTCTCTCCTAACGTTTTGCCTGCATCTGTGGCCCTTTTTGGGCCAAAGTACAAAGAGTGACATTTTTTGCAGCTGCGCATTACATTCACCAACAAATATGTGTTTTGGTTTCATTGTTTTGAAAATTGAGTGGCGCATTTGATTCAATGGTGCGTTGGAGTCAACATGGCATATAAATGAAGTTGACTTCCGTGTTTAGAGAGGTGGGTCCCGTCTGCAATGTGTCTCATGATGTACATGGAGATGTTCCCAAACCTCAGCCACTCCTAGTCCGGATAAAGGATGGCCGACCTGTAGGATGGTGGTGACATCATCAAATGGTGATGCTCCACTTCCTGTCCCTTTGCATCCCCAGCTACCAGCTCTCCTGCGCCATCGAGCCACCGGTGGAAGGAGGGACCCCCGCCAAGGCCGGGAAGCCCACCCTGGTCATCACCCACTGCACCGAGTGAGAGGCACATGGGTCCTGGGCGCAACGAGGGTGACGGGAGTGCGGTGGGCCCCTCTGAGAGTCCTAACGTTGGGAGGGATTGAGGGGTGCGCTATGGGGGTGCCCCCATTTGACAGGCCTTCTCCATTTATCTCTCTCTCTCTCGGGGGGTGCAGCCTCCTCACCTCCCTCAGCATGAGCACCCTCGTCCCCTGGGACCGGTCCTGCTCCTCGAACCCACCTCCAGACCTGCTTCTGCCTCCCACGTCGCCTGACCGGGGACAAACACGCCACAACCAGGTGAAATGAGGGGGGTGTTGTTGTTGTTCTTAGCTGGCATCAAGTTAACTTTGACTACAGGAAACCTTTGAAGAAGAAGTCACATCCAGTCATCATCTGCTGCCATGCTCAGGTCTTGCAAATCCAGGGCTTGGCTCCATATGTTATATAAATATGAGCCCAATCCATAATCCTCAGCTTCATTGGGATGATGGGCCTTGAAGTTGATCTTGACTTATGGAGACCCTATTTACGGGAGACCTCCAAGTCACCCATCACCCAAAGCCCTGCTTAGGTCTTGTCTCATTCTGCCATCTAAATATAAGCCAGACTTCCTTGGTTGGATTGGCCTTCAAGTTGATTTCATATTATGGTGACCCTATGAATGGAAGACCTCCAGGTCATGTCCCATCATCCACAGCCCTGCTGTGGGTCTTGTCTCATTTTGTCATCTAAATATAAGCTGAACTCCTAAGTCTCCACTTTCTTGGTTAGATGGGCCTTCAAGTTAGGTTTTTGGAGACCCTATGAATGGGAGACCTCAAGTCACATCCGATCATCCACAGCCCTGCTTAGGTCTTGTCTCATTCTGTTGTCTAAATATAAGCTGGACTTCTTTGGTTGCATTGGTCCTCAAGTTGGCTTTATCTTATAGTGACCCTATGAGTGGGAGACCTCCAAGTCATATCCCATCATCCAAAGCCCTGCTTAGGTCTTGTCTCATTCTGTCGTCTAAATATAAGCCGGACTTTCTTGGTTGGATGGGCCTTCAAGTTGACTTTATCTTATGGTGACCCTATGAATGGGAGACCTCCAAGTCACATCCCATCATCCATAAGCCCTCATTTTGTCATCTAAATATAAGCTGAACTTCTAAGTCTCCACTTTCTTGGTCAGATGGGCCTTCAAGTTGGCTTTATGGTGGATCTATGCCTGGGAGACCTCCAAGTCATATCCCACCATCCAAAGCCCTGCTTAGGTCTTGTCTCGTTCTGTCGTCTAAATATAAGCCGGACTTTCTTGGTTGGATGGGCCTTCAAGTTGACTTTATCTTATGGTGACCCTATGAATGGGAGACCTCCAAGTCACATCCCATCATCCATAAGCCCTCATTTTGTCATCTAAATATAAGCTGAACTTCTAAGTCTCCACTTTCTTGGTCAGATGGGCCTTCAAGTTGGCTTTATGGTGGATCTATGCCTGGGAGACCTCTAAGTCACATCTCATCATCCACAGCCCTGCTTAGGTCTTGTCTCATTCTGTCATCTAAATATAAGCCGGACTTTCTTGGTTGGATGGGCCTTCAAGTTGGCTTTATCTTATGGTGACCCTATGAGGGGTAGACCTCCAAGTCACACCCCATCATCCACAGACCAGTTCAGGTCTTGCAACACATGAAGGAGGGACCTCCAAGCCATCCTCCCTCAGGAATACAGCAAAGCCAGGGCAGCTATGGCTTCCTCAGCTGAGCTCATCCCTTCTACCTTTGTTGTTGTATGGCCCTTGAGTCATTTCTGACTTATGGTGACCCTAAGGTGGATCTATCATGGGGTTTTCTGGAGCTGAGAGTGTGTGGCTCACTGCAGTGACCTTCCATGGCCGAGCATGGACTCGAACCCAGTCAGGAGGCCTTTGATGGTGTCCTCCTGCCTGGCAGAAGGGGGCTGGACTGGATGACTCTTCCAACCCTATGAGGCCTCTTCAAACGCTTCCTTGGCTGACGACTTCTTTCCTCCCACAGCACACCAAGTGGCCCTCGGTCTCCGCCTTGGACTCGGCCCCCGACAGCACCGCCCCACCTTCCCCAGGGGGACTGGCCCCTCCTCCGCCCCAAGGGGGGACCTTCGTCAAGGGCCACCGCCGCTCCGCTTCCTGTGGGTCGGCCTACCCTGCGGGACAGGCAATGGGGGGCGCTTCCGCTTCCGAGTGCCGCATCATCCGCGTCAGCATGGCCCTGCAGGACGGCACCCTCTACAAGAGCATCCTGGTGAGCAGCAATGGGGCGGGTGCAGCAGGCGAAAAACATACTTATGTACCCCACTCACCAATTTACCAGAAGTCAGGATTGTTAGAATCTTAGAGTTGGGAGGGACTCCAAGGGCCATCCAGTCCAACCTCCTCCCACTGGGCTGGGAGACACAGTCAAAGCCCTCCCAATAGATGACCATCCAGCCTCTGCATAATGTGCTGCTGCCTGGGATCTGATGGAGTCTCCTTCCTTCAGAGGCTGGATGGCCATCGGTCAGGGTTGCTTTGATGGTGCTTTTCCTGCCTGGCAGAAGGGGGTTGGACTGGATGCCCTTTAGGAGTCCCTTCTGACTCCAGGATTCTACCTGAATGAATGAAATAACTTCACCCTGTACCTGGGCTTATGGCTCCCCCAATGTTGACAACGGGGGCCAACGAATTCTTCTTCCTTCCAACAGGTCACCAGCCAAGACAAGGCCCCAGTTGTGATTGCGAAGGCGCTGGAGAAGCACAACCAGGACCGTGGCTTGGCCCCCCAGTACCAACTGGTGCAGCTCCTCCCGGGCGGAAAAGGTGGGTCCTGGGGGGATTACTGGGGTGACGAAAGGGGGCCCTGCCTGGCCCCTTAAGGGCAAGGGGGCTCGTCAGGTGGGCCAGTGCTGGGTTTGGGGGGCTGGAACATGCCGGCCTTTTGCTTTGTGTGAGAATGACCGCACTTCCCTGAAAGAGGGGACAGGGCTCCTGATCCTGACCTGAATGCACTGCACGCAGGAGAAGCTGCCCAGTAGGAAACATAAATAGCTTGACCGATCAAGAGTCAGCCCCATGAAACTGAGACACGCAGAAAGGTCAGGAGAGGCCAAAGCCGTTTGCTTGAGCCGCCTTGGCGCTCTGGACTCCGTTTGCAGCAACCAAAGCCAATTCAGGACACTTGGAGGGAATTGACGTAAACAACCCAAAGCAATCTGCCATTGGCTTTGGCAGTAGCCCAGTCTGAGAACGGCCCAAGGAGTGGGGGGGGGGGGGGGGCTGCAGAAACACATCAACGGCCCAGTTGACCATGTCGGTGAAATCCGGTCTTGGAGCTTGGCCCAAATCTGTTGATGGGGTTCAGAATTTCCATTGATTGTAGATGAACTATAAATCCCAGCAACTGCAACTCCCAAATGTCAAGGTCTATTTCCCCCAAACTCCACCAGTGTTCACATTTGGGCATATTGAGTAATTGTGCCAAGCTTGGTCCACATCCATCATTGTTTGAGTCCACAGTGCTTTCTGGATGTTGGTGAACTACAACTCTAAAAGTCAAGATTGATGCCCACCAAACCCTTCCAGTAATTTCTCTTGGTCATGGGAGTTCTGTGTGCCAAGTTTGGTTCAATTCCATTGTTGGTGGAGTTCAAAATACTCTTTGATTGTAGGTGAACTATACATCCCAGCAACTACAACTCCCAAATGTCAAGGTCTATTTTCCCCAAACTCCACCAGTGTTCACATTTGGGCATATTGAGTAATTGTGCCAAGCTTGGTCCAGATCTATCATTGTTTGAGTCCACAGTGCTTTCTGGATGTTGGTGAACTACAACTCCAAAACTCAAGGTCAAGTGCCCTCCAAGGCCTTCCAGTATTATCTGTTGGTCATGGGAGTACTGTGTGCCAAGTTTGATTCAATTCCATTGTTGGTTTGAATTCAGAATGCTCTTTGATTGTAGGGAACTATAAATCGCAGCAACTGCAACTCCCAAATGACAAAATCAATTCTTCCAGCCCCACCAGTATTCAAATTTGGACGTATCGGGTATTGGTGCCAAATGTGGCAATCTCCCAATCCTTTCTCACCCCGGGGGGTGGAGGGACTCAAGGCGGTTTACAACATACCGGTTGCACAGCTAGCTAATCACCAGCAGCGATAGATCACTGCCGACCGGAAGGTTTGCAAGTTCGAAGCCTGGGTCGGATTGAGCACCCAACTGTCAAGCCTAGCTTACTGTCCACCTAAGCAGTTCTGTGAGTAGAGGAATTAGGGACCGCTTAAAGTGTGGAAGTATTTTACAACACCATAAAAATGCAATCAAAGAGCAAGGAGGAAATGCTATGATCAAAAATGACTCGGCGTCATAGTGGATGAAGCAACACCACCCCCCTGTGGCCGGATTCGAGCATAACCTCCAGGCGCCGAAGATGAAATGCCAAAATACTTCTGTCTGTATGTCTAAAAACAGCATTGAATGTTTGCCGTGTATTATTATTATTATTATTATTATTATTATTAAACTTTATTTGTACCCCGCTAGCATCTCCCGAAGGAGTTGATGCGGCTTACACAGGTCGAGGCCTAAACACACAACACAACAATACAATCTAAGCAAATCAAATAATTAAAAACAGTAAAGCAAAATAAACAACAGGAACAATACACTAAAACACAATAAAACTGGGCTGGGCCAGAGAGTGGGTACAAAGATTAAAAGTGCTGATGTGACAGGAGGTGTATAAAGGGCTTCTAGGGCAAGTGCGATGTGCGATGTGCAGCAATCATTGGTTCTGATAAAATGCTTCTGGGACTTGGTAGTGGAGATTTCCTAATCTGGGAAGGTGCATCAGAAAAGCCAGGTCTTCAAGTTCTTTCTGAAGACAGCCAATGTAGGGGCCTGTCTAAGGTCTTTGGGGAGGGTGTTCCAGAGTCGGGGGGCCACCACGGAAAAGGCCCTGTCCCGCGTCCCCGCTGAGCGCGCTTGTGACACCGGTGGGATCACGAGCAGGACCTCTCCAGATGACCGAAGTGAACGTGTGGGTTCGTAGATGGAAATGCGGTCACACAATGTATGTGTGCCTTGTGATCTGCCCCAATGTGATTTTGTCCTAGACTTCCCTGGATCTGGACACAATCCTCTTGGTGCAGCTTAGAATTGCGTTGGCCTTTTAAGCTGCCGCATCGCACTCCTGACACACTCACGCTCAGCTTGTGAGACTCCCCTATCCCTGTCCCAGGGAGGGTTTCCATGCCAGCTCCCACCCTTTATTTACACTTTGTCCTTCTCTTCCTGCAGAGCTGGCCTTCCCTCCGACGGCCAACGTCTTCTACGCCATGAACGGCACCTGCCAGGACTTCATGCTCCGGGCGAAAGGGGCGCAAGACAAGGCTCTCCCGCCGCCTCCTGTGCCGCTGCCGCCGCCTCCCCCTCCTCCGCCCCCCAGGAGCCCCACCCCCAGGCGCATGGAAATCAGCGCCACCTTCCCAAAGATCAAGGCCACCGGGCGCAAGATTGCCAGAGCACTCTTCTGACCCAACTGGAAGCCGGGACCCACTTCTAACGGGCAAAAGCAGGCTCCGCCGAGAAAGAAGCGGACTATGCCGACGCCGGAGGAATATCGAGGAACCAGGCGCATTTGGGATTCAGAGCCAGGGACATTCAAATTCCGTTTGCGGCGCCTGCTATGCACTTCCTCTCGGCGCCACTACTGACTTCCTCTCTGCTTTTGCATGGCCCCGTGCCTTAACGGAGTGACAGTCTGCACTGTACCGGCCGAATGAAGGCGCTGCCCGAGGACCTCGCTTCCTGCTGACGGGAAGCGCCGTCGCAGTTGTTTACGGAAGCGGCCGCCTTGCTCACAATCTTTAAGCGTGGGCATTTCTTTTTGCAAAGCCAGAGTGATCATGAGCAGCCATCCTTTTTGCCTTTGTAGCTAATGCAATACCAAAACTGGATCGGAAGGGGATGGGAGCCTTTTCTCAGGGAGTCTCAGCCAAAGTCCTTACGCCAAACTCAGCCTCAGCTTTTCTTTGCTCCTTGGTGCAATTACACACTATTTTTGTAATTAAATAAAAGACACTACTTACGAGGGCAGGGAAAGGCGTCAAGTCCATGAGGCTCTGCCAGGTTGTTGGGCTCCCACCTCCCAGGAGACCCAGCCAGCTTGGCCCAATGATCGGGGATTATGGGACTGGGAGTCCAAAGACACTACTAAATTCAGAGGGACAAACATTGGGAAGGCAACAAGTCAAGTCCCAGGGCCAAGGGAATGGAGGAGGGCATTCTGTGGCTACCTCCTTTTGGGGGAAAAAAATCACGGAATATGGAACGCACTGAACCCTATTGATAGGAAACTAAGACTGTTCTCTTGCCTTCTGGCCCAATAGGTAGCATCAACTCTTGCTGCAGGGCTAAGAGGGCCTCTGAGAACACCTAGAGGGCACTCGCAAATGCAGGCAACCCTGAAAGGAGCTGTGGCTGTTCACATTTGATTAGCCCACACACTGCATTGCCAGAGAAAGAAAATACACCATGCAGGTGAACAATAAAGAACAAGTATTGTCAAAGTCTTTCATGGCCAGAATCACTGGGTTGTTGTAGGTTTTTTTGGGCTATATGGCCATGGTCTAGAGGCATTCTCTCCTGACGTTTCGCCTGCATCTATGGCAAGCATCCTCAGAGGGAGTGAGTTCTGTTGGAACCAGGAAAAAGGGTTTATATATCTGTGGAATGGCCAGGGTGGGACAAAGGACTCTTGTCTGCTGGAGCTAGGTGTGAATGTTTCAACTGACCACCTTGATTAGCATTTGATGGCCCAGCAGTGCCTGGAGCAATCTTTTGTTGGGAGGTGATTAGATGTTCTTGTTTGTTTCCTCTCGTTGTGCTGTTGTAATTTTTGAGTTTTTTAATACTGGTAGCCAGATTTTGTTCATTTGCATGGTTTCCTCCTTTCTGTTGACATTGTCCACCTGCTTCTTGTGGATTTCCATGGCTTCTCTGTGTAGCCTGACATGGTGGTTGTGAGAGTGGCCCAGCATTTCTGTGTTCTCCAATACTATGCTGTGTCCAGGTTGGTTCATCAGGTGCTCTGCTATGGCTGACTTCTCTGGTTGAAGGAGTCTGCAGCGCCTTTCATCTTCCTTGATTTGTGTTTGGGCACTTCGTTTACAACCACACAACAGCAGAGAGGGAGCAAACAAGGACATCTAATCACCTCTCAACAAAAGTTTGCTCCAGGCACTGTCAGACCATTATATGCTAATCAAGGATGAAACATTCACACCTAGCTCCAGCAGACAAGAGTCCTTTGTCCCACCCAGGTCATTCCACAGATATATAAACCCTTTTTCCCAGTTCCAACAGACCTCACCACCTCTGAGGATGCTTGTCATAGATGCAGGCGAAACGTCAGGAGAGAATGCCTCTAAACCATGGCCATATAGCCCGAAAAAACCTACAACAACCCAAAGAACAAGTAGTTTTTTCTTCGCAGTTCAGAGCATCATATATGCAGTGTGATCAGTTGCACCAACTCACACCATGTCCTTTTATGAGAGATTTAAACTTGTCTTCCTTTTGTCCATGTGGAGAAACTCCTTTCAGCATCTCAGAAGCAAAGCACACTCCAAACCCTGTCTCTCTGCTACTCTCTTCAAACTGAGCATCTGCATAGCTCGAGCCTGAACAAAAATGTAACAGTATCCAAAAGTCCCAGGCTCAGCCTGCTCCCCAACCAATCTACTTCATGCATCTTATTTTACAGTTGATGCACACACACTCCTTGCATGCTCCAACATTCTCCTGTTTCCTTCTTTCTTGGATGTGTATCCCCACTTTCTTCCCTAACACAAATCCCCCTCCCCAACACCAGAGATAGAGGAACCTATGAGGAAACCGGACTTCAGTCCATGGCTTGGTAGGACCTCACTCACCCAGATACATTCACCATTCATACTCACCATCCCTACTTCTTTCAGGCCTAATGCTGCTGGGAGGAGAGAGGCGGGTGGGCAGACGTGACTCTCCTGCAGATCTGGCAGATCACAGAGGTAATCAGGAAGAGGGCCTCTTATGCAGAGTGTTTGGTTCTCCATGATCTGGTTGCTTAGATCACCTCCATCATTCAGCTCAGACCTGCTGGAGCCTCATCAATTCCTTTGTTTACCTTCCTTCTTTTAAAGCAAGGTTTCTCAACCTGGGGGTCGGGACTCCTGGAGGGGTCACAAGGGGGGTTTCAGAGGGGTCACCGAAGACCACCAGAAAATACCTATTTCTGATGGTCTTAGGAATCCCTTTGGCAGAGAAGCCTGAAGATCTCTCCGCCTGACCTTCTCTTCCTTTTTGGAAACAGTGAACCCTCCCACCAAAATGGCACCTAATTTGGTCCAGATCCATCGTTGTTTGGGTTCACAGTGCTCTCCAGATGTAGGTGAACTACATCTCCCCTAAATCATTGTCAATTCATCCCAAATCTCTCGTATTTTCTGTTGGTCATGGGGGTCCTGTGTAGGAAGTTTGGCCTTATTCTATCCTTGGTGGGGTTCAGAATGCTCTTTGATTGTAGGTGAACTATAAATCCCAGCAACTATAACTCCCAAATGTAAAGCTGTATTTCCCTCAAACTCCACCAGTGTTCACATTTCAGCATATTGAGTATTCCTGCCAAGTTTGGCCTAGAGCAGTGGTTCCCAACCTGTGGGTCCCCAAGTGTTTTGGCCTACAACTCCCAGAAATCCCAGCCAGTTTACCAGCTGTTAGGATTTCTGGGAGTTGGAGGCCAAAACATCTGGGGACTCACAGGTTGAGAACCACTGCTCTAGATCCATCATTGTTTGAGTCCACGGTGCTTTCTGGATGTAAGTGAACAACAACTCCAAAACTCAAGGTCAATGCCCACCAAATCCTTCCAGTATTTTCTGCTGGTTGTGGGAGTTTTGTGTGCCAAGTTTGGTTCAATTCCATCGTTGGTGGGGTTCCAAATGGCCTTGTACTGTAGTTGAACTATAAATCCCAGCAACTTCAACTCCCAAATGTCAAGGTCTATTTTCCCCCAAACTCCAACAGTGTTTCAGCATATTGAGTACACATTTCAGCATATCGAGTTTTCCTGTCAAGTGCGCTCTACATCCATCATTGTTTGAGTCCACAGTGCTCTCTGGATGTAGGTGGCCCCCCAAACCCTTCCAGTTTTTTCTGCTGGTTGTGGGAGTTCTTTGTGCCAAGTTTGGTTCAATTCCAATTGGTGGAGTTCAGCATGCTCATTCAATCCATTCATTACATCAAGCGGGTGGGATGGGTTGCCTGGTTGGCTGGCTCCAAAGAAAAAGGGAGGCAGGCAGAAAAAGAGGAGGAATAGGCAATGAACCCCGTGTTCCAGGAGAAAGTCCTACACAAGGACGCCAAGGGAATGGCCCTGGACCACCTCTCCGGCGCGTGCCTTTGTTTCCCCAACAGCTTGTGCCCATTTCGAAGGGGTTTCGGGACTTGGCCTAGTTGGGAGTGGAGAAGCCTCCGCACTTGGATCTTAGGGACACTCCCAACCAACTTCCCTTTTGGTGCCTCTCCTCTTTTACCTGAGATGCACAGCCTGCAACAATAAAAGCCAGTTTCTACCTTTTACAAAAACCTTCCCTGAGCCTCGTGTCTTTTCTCAGCTCATGCTGTACTCTAGCAGTGGCTGCTCCATGCGTGATAGCAAGGATTCTGCAAACCCTCCTGAGATGCCCCGGCCCTTTCTTTGGACATGCAAGGCAAAGGCAACACAAAACAGAGAGGGACAGAGACGTGACTTTGTTTTATTGTGACCAGAGGGGCCAAGCCTGATCCAGGTGCTGGGCCCCCCTTCCTCTCCTCCCTCCCTCCTCCTTCATGCCTTGAGGGCGGCTGCCTTTCCGGCGGGGGCCTGGGCCTTCTGGAAGTCCTGCTGCAGCCTCCCCAGCAAGTCCCGCTGCTGCTCCGACTTCCTCTCCAGATCCTGCATCTGGGACTCATAGCGCTTGCTGCAAAAGGAGGAGGGAGGGAGGGAGGGAGTCCGTGGGAGGGGAGGCGTGGGTGCCTTCCTCCAGTGGGGACCCCTAGGACCACACAGCCCACCCCCTTCAGGAGAACACAACCCAAGCCCTCCCGGTAGAGGGCCATCCCGCCTGACTCCCAGGGAGAGCTCAGAGTGCCAGGAAGGCCTTCCTAATACACGGAGGCAGAGTCTCTCTTTCCTGGGTCTTCAAACCACGGCTCCCTCGTGTCCCACTCTCTGGAGCAGCAGGAAACAGGCCTTCTTCTCCCTTCTCTAAGTAGCTGGAAGGGGCCTCAACGTTTGTGGATACGGGATGGTGAGGGATGGAGGGACATACAACAAAAATACCACTTATATATGGAGTAAACAATAATGGAATTCAACAAACAATTATATAGACATGTTGTACTGTTCAATTTCACAGTGATGTCAAACAATATTGTGTAGAGGGGTGGAGGGAGGTCAGTGGGGTGCCTTCCTGTGACCTTGTGTGCACCCGTTTGCTAGATCTGTCTCGCTCAAGGTGTCTCCGCTTCCTGCCTCCGTGGAGAGGTGTCCCTTTCTCCTCATAGAATCCAAGAGTTGGGAGAGACCTCCTGGGCCATCATCCAGTCCAACCCCATTCTGCCAAGAAGCAGGAATATTGCATTCAAAGCACCCCTGACAGATGGCCATCCAGCTTCTGTTTCAAAGCTTCCAAAGAAGGAGCTCCACCACCCTCCGGGGCAGAGAGTTCCACTGCTGAACGGCTCTCACATTCAGGAAGTTCTTCCTCATGTTCAGATGGAATCTCCTCTCTTGTAGTTTGAAGCCATTGTCCCATTGCGTCCTAGTCTCCAGGGAAGCAGAAAACAAGCTTGCTCCCTCCTCCCTGTGGCTTCCTCTCACATATTTATACATGGCTATCTCCTCTCAACCTTCTCTTCTTCAGGCTAAACATGCCCAGCTCCTGAAGCCGCTCCTCATAGGGCTTGTTCTCCAGACCCTTGATCCTTTGAGTCGCCCTCCTCTGGACACACTCCAGCTTGTCAATATCTCTCTTCAATTGTGGTGCCCAGAATTGGACACAATATTCCAGGTAAAGTGGTCTAACCAAAGCGGAATAGAGCACGGGGAGCATGACTTCCCTAGATCCTCCTCCTCCTCCTCCTCCTCCTTCCTGGAGGTCTTTTGCACATCTTACTTCCCTTCTGATTGAGAACGGAGCACCGTGAGGCCTCTCCCTGGCACAGAGAGACCCCAGAGTCAGCACTGCGGGCCCTTCCCCCAAAGTGAGGCCACTTTGCCTTTTGTCCACCAACTCTTTCATCTGAGGTATGTACGGGGTATAGGAGGTTGTACATGACCCGCAACAAGAAAAGCAAGCTTTGTGCCTTCAGAAACTGGACCAGAACATCMCCYTGGGWAGAWTCCCTCCCGTTTCCTACCAGAAGGTCATACGCTGCACTCTGCTCTTCTACAGACATCTCATCTTCCTGCAAATGYGTAAACACAGCAATATGTGGTGCCCTCTCTTCCCTTCCTCCAAGCCAAACAGGCAGGTGCTTCTCAAAGGGATTCTTGCCTTCTGGTCCTTGGGCCCCTTTGTGCTCCTTCCCTTCCCTACTTGACCATCTCCTTCTTCTTGAATGAGGTTTCCCACAGTCCCACTCTCTTCCTCTGCTTTGGTCAGGCCTTCTCACCTGGAATAACAGCCCTGGGTCTCTTCAAGGTATGGATATTGACAGGACGGATGGGGTCCCCCTGAGGACCACCCTAGGGAGCTGGGTCTGCTCAGCATGGGGAAGAGGAGGCTGAGAGAAGGTCCCTGAGGAGAGCCAGGCTGAAGCACCTGGAAGGAGGAAGGGCCAGGCTGGTCTTGTGCTGCTCTGGAGGAGACCGGGACACGAGGGAGCCGTGGGTTCAAGCGGCAGGAAAAGAGGTCCCACCTCAACCCAAAGGAGGACATCCTGAAGGCAAGAGCTGTTTGGCTATGGAATCTGCTGCTTCCTGGGAGTCTGCTGGGGTCTCCTTCCTCCTCTGGAGGTTCTGAAGCAGTGGCTGGATAGGACCATCTATTGGAAGGGATTGGGTTGTGCTTTTCCCGCCTGTCTGGAAGGGGATGGATTGGATGTCCCTTGGGGGTCCCTTCCAAGTCTAGTGGGGAATGGACAGCCTGAGAGTCCGGGGGAGTCTCCTCCTCTGGAGGCCTTTCAGCAAACACTGGGTGGCCATCTGTCGGGGGGGTTGGACTGGATGTTCTTTGGGGTCCCTTCCAACTGAGGGAGACGAGTGGCCAGAGAGGTCTTTCCTCGTCTCTTGACCCTTTGGACCCTAGGCCCCACTGCAGAGTTGTCAGGAGTCAATTTCTGACGGCATGAAGACATCACAAATTCCCTCTGTGACATCCTGACTGAATCAATTCTCTCTGTGACACTTTGAAGCCAGGAGAGGGTGCTGGAAACCTTGTATTGGAACTTGTGAAGCAACAAATTCTAATAAGGAAACTGAGAAGAGGAGGGAGGTGGGCAGGAAAGGTGTATCAAAGGAAGTGGTGGTGGGAAAAAGCCAGTAGTGTTTTTCTTTGCTGCAGAGATACAAGCAATATATCCGTTTCAAAGCAAAACCGGCTTGTGAGTGGTCATTTAATATTGCTATATAGATCCTACAGTCTTACAAGAGTGTCATGGAGGCGCTGGAGTGTCCAGAGAGTGGGGCTGCCCCCTCTTTGCCTCAGGAGGGCTCTCCTTGAGTGGAAGGGAGTGATGGCTGTGCAGGCCGCCCTGGAGACCTCCCTCCCTCCCTTCCCGAGTGGATCGGGGCCCAGAGGGAGGTTGGGGCTGGACCAGGACCCAAGGGGCTGGGCTGCGCCTCCTGCTGCAAGGGTCCCTCCCTCCCTCCTTCACCCCCCACACCCACGCCCACTCACATCTCCCCGGCAATGTACTCCAGCCTCTTCCCGACCGTGGCCTTGGCCTCCTCCATGTCCTGCTTCACCAAGACGGGCCCAATCAGCTTGAAGACGGCGTTGGAGGCGTCCAGGAAGCCCAGCTCCTAGAGAAGGGCTGGGTCAGGCTTGGGCCTTGGACTGGGACCCAGAGGCCAGGCTTGGGGCGGAGGAGTGTCCCCAGGGGAGGGAGGAGGCCCCACTCTCCCAGCCCCACAGGAAGGCAGAGGAAACCTGGCCAAGGAGACCCCCGGAAGGGCCAACCTAAGTCAGGAAGCCCTTGGAGGTGAGAGACATCGGAGGAAAGAACGTGAAGGCACACAACGACAACAACAACAACACAAAGGAAGAGTAAAAGCCGCTCTCCTCCGTGCCCCACTCATTGTGGGAGAGGGCTGCTCTACAGCCGTGGGATTCCTTCTTTCCAGAGCCATGGCATCCAGGAAGCCCAGCTCCTATTTATTTATTATTTATTATTATTTATTTTGGACATTTGTATCCCGTCCAATCTCAACCTCCGCAGAGGGACTCAGGGCGGCTCACAACCGGCACACCATGGTGCCCACAAACAAAAGATAAATATATAATACAAATAAAAACAATATAAAAACGGTATACAAACATTTAAATGGTCAAACAGTCGCCGACTTAAGTCATTGTCCTAAAAGCAGTCCTAGGGAAGGAGCGGGTCAGGCTTGGGGTGGAAGAGCCCCTCCCTGGGGTGGGGTGGGTTGGGGGCCCTGGAGGAGGCACCCCACTCTCTCAGCCCCAGAGGAAGGCAGGGGAAGCCCACCCATCCCCTCCAAGGAAGATTGGCCAAGGATTCCCCCAGGAAGGGCTGCCTTAAGTCAGGAGCGAAAAACATCAAAGGAAACACTGCGTTGCTGTAAGTTTTTCCGGCTGTATAGCCATGATCTGGAAGCATTCTCTCCTGACGTTTTGCCTGCATCTATGGCAGGCATCCTCAGAGGTTGTGAGGTCTGTAGGCAACTAGGAAAATGGGGTTTATATATCTGTGGATGGGAGGAAGAACTCTTGTCTCTGTGAATGTTTCAATTGATTAGCAGTTTTCAAGGCATGGCTTCTTACTGCCTGGGAGAATCCTTTGTTGAGAGGTGATCTTTCTCCCACCCTGGACATTCCACAAATATATAAACTTATTGTTATTATTTACTTTAGCCCTTAGGTGACTCAGAGCGGTTAACCACAATTTCAGTATACACAATACAAAATCACTGGGCATTGAAAAGCAATAGCATTACAAATCATTAAACATCAGCATCAATACATCAGTAGTACATCAATATCACAAATCCATCAGGCC